ACCATGCAAGGGGTGAATCAATGAAAATGAACTATTGGCTCCGTGGACGCGTCGCGATGCAAGGCCTCACGATCGTCGCACTCCTCGTTGGCGCGTCGAGAATGGGCGAATTAGACTGGGGTCCCGACAGGTACCAGCGAACTGTTCATTGGGACCTACGGCAGCTCCTTTTGCAAGAGGAGCGAATGGTTCGGGCCCGCAAGACCGCGGCGGAACTCATGGACCACATGGAAGGGCAAATATATGGGAAGGGCGCGTTAGCCAGACAGAGTGAAATACTGGTGGGTCTGGGACGGGGAAGTGAGAGCGGCAAGAAGTCGAGGGGGTATGGGTGGGGCTAGTCTCAACAGACTCTCCGCCCACGTCGAGTAACTCGAAGCAAGGAGATGACAGTAATGTTTTGAGTATTGATTTATTCCTTCTGCCCTCCGCGTCGGAAGCTGCAACTGGCCATACAGCAATCATACAATATCATAACCTACAAGCCAACCGCCCGATGGTTGATTTTCAAAACTTGATTTCCTGCTTTGTTGTATAGTATCAGAGCAACGTTCCCGCCGGACAATCTAACCGCGAATTCGGATGTAAAATGCCCACAGGCACGGAATGGAATCAATTATCCCCTCGTTCTGCTATTGCTTCTGGCTTCTTTATGTCCTCCACTGCGAGTCGCCAGCCGCCATACATCTGATTTATGATGGCACTCCGTCGCAAGACTGCAAGCTCCGCCACGGCGTCGGAGTACATCGACTTTATCTTCGCAGAATCTGATTCCCTCTGCAGACGATTCGACCAAGTTGCTACAAAGAACAGTGACTAGAACACACCTGAAGAGTCCGGAATGTCTCTTGCGTGCGGCGGACAAAGTAGGTGCGAAAATTGTACGAGCTGAAGGAACGAGATGTCCGCAACATCGTAGAATAGAGGCTGAGGATCGAGCGGCGGCTCGGTGGAGTAGCCATGTTTTCGTGTTGGAGGTTTTGCGGAGGATGCTGCTGGAGGTTACGAAGCAAAGCCGAAATGATCACATAGATAAGATTGCGGGTATATTTGGCAAACGGTTTGAGGACAAACATTGTTGATAAACACTAACCTTCGTCACGGTGACTACATCGAGCTACATCGTCTTTGCTGGCGACCCGGCGGTCATTTGGCGGCCATGGCACCTCTACAGCCGATTCGTTTCTTGGGCGTCAGTCACGGTCTTCTCTTGAGCGGGTCACAAGCGGAACTCAAATGTGGCCAACTAAGCCCAACTTGAGTCGTTAACGGTAAATGGCCCTTCACGGAGCCAAAATACCGCCCATAAACCTATGAATGTCTCGTGTCTCATTGTGTGTTCCTTATGTTTCACCACCAAGTCCGAACAGGCAACCAGTACAGGGTGGCCAAGGTGGCCCAAGCCACTCGCCTTCCTTTGTCCTTGCATTCTATTTAAAACCTGGTCATCCTGTCTCCGCTCTATAAAAGTCTTTCCTCCCATAATGCGACGAGAACACTCTGCTCGCGCTCTCCCGTCGGAAATGCCTGTCACCCTCGACGCTCATGGCTGCTCGCCCTCTTCCTCCAAGTCGTCCTTTGTTCCTCCGCTCCTTTCACCACAGAGCTGCACGGCGACGGCAACAACTCAACCTCACCAAAAGTACGGCAGCGCCAAGCACGTCCTGGTCTGCATTACCAACGGGCCGGTGGCACACCCTCCTCCAACTCTTCCGGCCGCAGAGCTCAAGGCTCCGAGTCGCACCTCGAAGGCCATGCCACCTCTAAAAACTTTCAAGTCGGCGCGACACAACAACGGCCCGCCGACTAGTGGGGAACGTACCCCCGGCCCTTTCCTGTTTCTCAAGAAGATACAGTCCGGGGCTTACGGCGAGGCCATCGCTGTTCGTGAGCTCGACGATGCCTGGCTGCAAGGCATCTCCCCAGGCCGCGTCCTGTGTATGAAGGTATTCACGAAGACCACGGCGCTCGAGCACGGATTGATACCGGGGATCGTGCAAGAGGTGCTTGCATATCGAAACGTGGCACGCGCCGATACGAGTCGGGGAGAAGCAGAGGGTCGGAGCTTCGTTATGGACTTGGAAGCCTCATTGCAGGACGAGATGCGCCTGTTCTTTGTCATGGTGCGTCTTCTTTCTCGGCGGTTAGCTCGTCGTTTAATTTTGCCTTACATCTCTACAGGACTTGATGGACTGCGATTTATTGACTGTCTACAACGGCTACAGATACTCACGCAAAAACAATGCTAAGCGGTGGATAACCCAAATTGTTCGTTCATTTTCTACTTTTTGCTCCCTTTGTATACTTAACGGCTTCGCAGGCGCTCGGTATATCTGCAATTCACGCGTCTGGAGTCATCCACCGCGACATCAAGCCGGAGAACCTCCTCCTCGACGCGAAGGGCAACATTCGCATCTCGGATTTTGGCTCCGCCCATTCAGAAATGGACGGTCTACCTCTGGACCCCTCCAAAGTCTACGCCCACGAGGTCACCGGCACCTGGGCATACATGGCTCCCGAGATGCTGGCTAACAGGAAAAAGTCGGAGTGGCGGGCTGTCAAGTACGGCCTGGCGGTCGATTATTGGTCTCTGGGATGCATCGCGTTCGAGCTTGTGTCGGACGAACGTAACGTGAGTTGACTCCCTCTTTGTCCACCCTCCTTCATGGACCTCATGCCTTCTGTGACTCCAGGGTCTTTTCGATTCGGAGGAGGAGCTTCGATGCTATGAATTATGGCACCAGGGGGGTCACCGCCACTCTTATTTGTCGTTCGCTGGGCTTAGCGAGGACGCCGAGTCACTCGTGTCTGGGGTAAGCGCGCTAGTTTTTCTCCACAAGAACTCACACTGACCTCGTTTATAGCTACTTCATCTCGATGTGCTTGAGAGATATCGTATCGACGATCTCCGTCGGCACCCCTACTTCGAAAATGACGACGGGTTTGTCCTTCCACCGCTTTCCGGTCGCCTGTTCTAATTCATCGATACTCACCAGGACATCCGAATTTGACCGTCCCGAGCCCCGTCGACGATGTACGTGTCCATCCTCATCGACCTGTGCTTTGGTCTTTACACCTCGCACAGCACACGGGCACCAATGCCGTCATGTCGACGCCAACACTCAACCGGCCCTGGTCCACGGTCATCCCGCAGTATTCACCCTTTCTATCGATCCACCCGAGGATGACGATACGTTCGTGCATTTCGGCTGGGTCAACCCAAAAGGAATCTGGGCCGCCAAAAAATAATAGATATATACATACTTTCATAGTTAGTATGTACAGCGATTAATAGTCCTTCGTACCACCGCACACACTGTATTACAAGTTTTCGATGTACCCGTAACTCGCCCATTTCATTTTCGAGGAATCAAGTTTTACCTGTCATGAAATGGTCCATGGATAGTGTAGTTTCATGACTACGAACATACTTACCTAACGCTAATCGCTAACTGCCTTGATATCTGGAACCGCCCAGAAAATATTTGCACTTCAGATCGGAGAAGCGGCATAGTTTCAAAGCTACAAAGCGTGCATGCAATGTCTATGATACCAGCAAAAGGATGCAATACAGAATACAAAGCTGAAAAGACAAAGCGGTGGTCGAAGAAGTCTAGTCATAAGAGATTATCCGCCAAAACCAATCCTCGCCCATTTATACTGTAAGCTGGTCAGAGCTGTGTTCGCCGAAGCCCAGCTGTTTGTGAGGCCCTGCGACTGGGATGGCGAACCAAGGTTGTTAGCAGCCTGTGAGAACGTGGTCTGAAGAGCGCTATTAATCAGCGGATGCAGAGAGCTGCATGATAACGAGGCTTACGACGACGCTGTCCTGAAGTCTGGTAAAAGCCTGTCCCAGCTGCGACAGGTCGGAAACCTCGCCGCTCGAGTGTGATGTGTTCACGAGGGAGGCGAGCTACAAACAGTTAGCATACAGTAGATGTTACGCAGCGGGTGGAAATACCTGGGTAATGAGTGCTAAGATTGCTTGGAATGTCGACTGCACTGGCGTAAATCGCGTTGCTATTCGCAGGAGTCAAGCTGTCAAACATGTTCTGCGTAATGCCGTTAGTCAGAGCCCAAACGAGTATTCTGCTGACAACTTACAAGCAGAGCAGTTATGCGATGTAATAGCATCGACATCGTTGATGATGCCGGAAAGGCTCTGAATATATATTCACATGAGCACAAGAAGGCAAGGCTGAAGTGTAAGAAACTTGCCTGGCCCTGGTTGGTGGTACCAGTCCCGGAACTGACAAAAGTGCCGGTGTTGCTGAGTAGAGTGCTCAAATCGGTTGTAGCGGCTGTAATTGAGGAAGTGAGTAGGTTGAAGTTGCTGATGACATCGGTAATGTCGACGGGTTTGCCAATGGCGCTGCTGAAGGCGCCGGAAACAACACTGCTGGGAACGATACTGACAGCGCTGATGGCGATGCTGTCTGAAGAGTTGATAGATGCTCGGGCATTGGAAGACGGTGACATTAGCGGTAGCCGTAACGGTGATGTTCACGGTAGTCGTAACGGTGGCCGCGGCGCCAATGGGGAAGATGGGCTTGTCCCGGGACAGCAGAGGGGCGCTGGCAAGGACGGCTGAAAGGAAGAGCGGTGGAGAACATTTTGGTCGGGTCGTGAAGTGGGCCGTTGGCCGTGGAGGTCATCAAAGGCGCAGGTGGATGGGACGCAATTGAAGTGGTTGAACGAAGATTGTGACCGCTATGAACCAGCTTTTGTTGGCAGGGGTTGAGACATACATCCGTGGATCCAGAAGTGGTTCTGCCTCGGAAGCAGATAAATTATGCGGACTCCTGAGACGGGATATTACTCTTCAGTCGCTTTTGAGCACACACATTTCAAAAGTAGAAACTGTTTGATCCAGCTCAAGCGCCTGAGAGAGCCTGAGATTCCAATGGCAGCTCAGATTCAACAAGCGAGGTGTTGTCACTGTCAAGGCTCGCCTTGGTATCGTTTACGTATACAGTGTTTAAACATCGCCTCTGAACAACTCTCGACTAGTATATCGGTTAGTACACGCGCCTGTCAAGTTATTCACGTAATTATGGTGCGCGCGAAAGCTGGGTTCGACTCCCAGGTCGAGAGCTTTTTTGAATCATTTCAACATGTCCTTCTTTCCTACAGGTGTGCTTCCTTGTATCTGTATATTGACGTCCTTTCTTTCACAGTCTTTCTCTTTTTCTTTTTCCTGTTTTTTTCTACACCGTTGTAATCCAATTAGACGCCCACGTGTCATCGATGCACGTGCCATTTCACACTTGATCGACGTGTCCGAATACGAGCTCCGGTTCCCCAAAGTATTATACACTCAACCCCAATAACCGACACCCTTCTCCTGTCTTTCGTTCACTGTCCATCTTATCCAGCTCGCTCTCCATGTTTACGGAAGAGTTGAAAGCGTTCCGCAGACTTGGCTTCCGCCATGCATGTTTGCAGTTTCATCTCTGAGCTGCTAGCTCACGCGCTTTCTTCCAGGTTCTCCTGCAGGCTTTGAATTTTGCCTCCGTTATTGCCTCGGGATTGATGATCTGGAAGGGCTTGGGACTCATCACAAACTCCGAATCACCCATTGTCGTTGTTCTCAGGTGTGTGGATGTCTATCCTTTCGTTACTCGGAAATTTAGCTAGACACAGTGGCTCAATGGAACCAGCCTTCTACCGCGGCGACCTTTTGTTCCTCACAAATCCGGTACAAGACAGGTACCACACGGGTGATATCACTGTCTATAAGATTCCTGGCGCCGACATCCCCATCGTCCACCGGGTGCTGGAGACCCACGATTATCAGTCTAGGTTAGTCTTTCTCCATCTTTCGTCTGGCGTCTTTTGACTCGGTGGCATGTGTCTTAGAGAAACGCTTCTCCCCCACAATCAACGGCTGTTGACCAAGGGTGACAACAACTACGTAGATGATATTGAGCTTTACCAAGGGCTGAGCTACTTAGAACGGAAGCACATTGTAGGCAAGGTCCGAGGGTAAGTGTCAGTTATATGTGCACCTCAGGATTCTCATGTCCTCTGTCCTAGATTCTTGCCATACATTGGCTATGTCACAATCGCAATGGTATGTGTCTCTGCGCACGGATATTTACTGCATTTTAATCAAACTGGCTTACTGCAGAATGACTTCCCACAACTCAAATATGCACTATTGGGTGGATTGGGACTACTTGCGCTCATTCAGAGGGAGTAAGTTCAAGTATGCCTTTTCTCTGGGAAATGTAGTTTGTACACAAAATCATAATATCGGCTTCGTTGCGTGAAAGATGATTCAGATTATCGACTCGGAGGACCGAGTGTCTTGTCACGTTTGCAATATCCCATTTCAGTCACGACCGCAGGCTTATAGGCTATCCCGAATTGTGACGATCAATCACGATACATCCAAGCCATGCATCTAGAACTTATCTGTGTACAGCTAACAGCTTTGAGGGCTTCAGTCTCCCATCCGTGTCGTGTGCGCTATGGCGGAACTTGTCGGCTTACTCGCCAGTATACTCCAGCTTGTCGACACCATTGTGAAAGCAAGTACGTATGTTAAGGATTTTCAGGATGCGCCGAAAGAACAGCAGAAACTGCTCTCTGAGGTCCAAAGCCTGCAGCCACTTCTGCAGGAACTGCAGAGCCGTGTGCGAGACAATCAAACGGCCAGCGGCATTCAACAACTCAAGGATCCATTGGCTCGCTTCGAAGAGACGATGAAGCGCTTCTCCGATAAATTGCGCGCCGCCAGCGGGCCCTGGTCAAAAGTTTCCAAACAGCTAACCTGGACACTGTGGAATAAGAAGGAGGCCAGCGAAGAGCTTAACAAGATTGAGAGATTCAAATCTCTGGTCAATGCCTGGTTGGCGATAGACCTGTGGTACGTCATTCTCTCGCACTACGTGTCTAGGTGCAGACAAGCGTATCCATTCGCGGCAGGGATATCGCTCAAACCCAACAACAGAATTTAGATGGCAAGTCCACTGAGCGCAGTATCATCAATTCCGACTAAAGTGATATACCAGATCTAGTGCAGCGTGTCAAGGACGCTTTTGAGGAGCAAAAACAAGAACAAGATCGTGCGTTCGAGAATCCGGAATATTCTGTTCGTTGACGGTTGAAGGCAGATCTATCGGCTCTTATGAGCGATACCGCTCATGAACACCGACAATACGTTGCGTGTAAGCTGCCTGAAAATACAGCTATTCGTAGTGTCTGAACTCCAGGATCCACACAGCGGCGGAACGTGATAAAGTAATCGAATGGCTGTCGCCTGTTAATTTCTTCCCGCGACAAGCCGACATCTTCAGTACTCGACAAGATGGAACGGGAGAGTGGCTCTTCGAGGACGATCGATTCAAAGCCTGGAAGTCTAGTTTCGGAGGATGTCTGTGGTGCCATGGGATGCGTATGTGCTGGCCAGTCCCTCCTCTTCGTTCGGCGCTAATTGGAAGGGGATAGCTGGCGCTGGAAAAACGGTAGTTGCGTGGGTCTCGCCTTCGTTTCTCGAAAAGAGTGTGACTAACTCTCAACAGATCGCTGGTCGTCAATGAGCTTCGAGCACAGTTTCAGAATGCCAACATCGGCGTCGCATGCATGTACTTGAATCACAAGGAGATTGAGGTGCAATCCCCATTAAATCTTCTTGCGAGTCTCTGGAGACAACTTGTCTTCGGGAAAGCTATATCATTGGTAGTATCCAGGCTATATCGGATGCACCATGAGCCGCGCACCAGGCCCTCACTTCGGGAGGTCCACGAGGTGCTTCTCGGCGTAGTTGCCGAGTATCTCCAAGTCTACATAGTCATCGACGCCCTGGACGAATACCCTGAGGATCGACGGAGACTTCTTCTCCGACACTTAGCGGCGATGGGGCCCACTGTCAACTTCATGCTAACTTCGAGACCCCACATCAGTATCAGCACCTTCTTCCCAAACTCACAGGCTCTAGAGATCCGTGCCACTGAGCAGGATATCCAACGATATGTAGAATCACAGATCCAAGAATCCTCTCGGTTGTCGAAACATGTCAGAGCCCGCCCAGAGTTGCGCGACGAAATCGAGAAAACGATAATCAGCAATGCTGGTGGAATGTGAGTGAGCGGCGTTCATCGGATAATCAGTTGTGAACTTTCTCTATCCAGGTTTCTACTCGCAAAACTCCATGTTGAGTCTCTCACGACAAAGAATAATATAAAAGCTGTTCGGGAAACACTGAAGAACCTGCCGAAGGATTTGGATGATACCTATGAGGAAGCGATGCAGCGAATTGAACGCCAGAATGAGGATGATAGAAATCTTGCTCGACTGGCCCTGACCTGGCTTTCGAATGCGAAAAGGCCGCTCTCTGTCATAGAGCTCCGGGTGGCCCTAGCTGTTGAACCAGAAGCCACGGGGATCGACCCAGACAGCCTTTTGGACATCGAAATCATTGTATCCGTCTGCGCTGGCTTGATTATCGTCGATGAAGCAGACGATATCGTTCGGTTGATCCATTACACCACGCAGCACTACTTGGACCGCATCCAGACGAGTCGATTTCCCCATGCCCAAACAGAAATCACAGCTACATGCCTCACGTATCTGACATTCACCGACCCATCCACGCCCGTCTACAAATTGGGAAAGCGGAAAAAGGACTCTGACAGCGGATTGTACTTGCCGTGGTCGACCCGGCCATTTCAGAAACACAGGCTCCTCAATTACGCTGCTACGTACTGCCTCGTACACGCCAGCGGACAGCCTGAATTGGCGCTGACAGACAAGATTCTGACCTGTCTGAGAGTGGAACAGACTTCCCGGTGGTTAAAATTTTGCAAATATCTCGAGTTGGAGGGCATTTACACTCGTAATCTGCGGTCCCGAGGAGAACTTCCGATTGCTGCGTTTTTCGACTTGCGTGAGATAGCTAGGTATCTGCTTGGCCGTCGGCGTGCAACTGTCGAACGCGTAGAAAACGCACAGCTCTTCCACTCATTATACTTGGCTTCGTATTGCGGCCACCTTGAGATGGCTCGACTGCTCATCGAGTATGGTGCCGACGTGAATATGCGGAAAGGACCACTTTTTATCGCATCGGAGAAGGGGCACGAGGCGTTGGTCCGGTTGCTTGTCCAGAATGGTGCGGATGTGAACATGCAAAACCCTGAACGGTACGAGTGGACCCCACTGTATGAAGTTGCGTGGAATGGGAACAAGGCAATCGCTCAGATACTCATTGATAATGGCGCCGACCTGAACATACTGGACAAAAATGGTAGCACCGCGCTGCGGAAAGCATCAGCATTCGGACACGAGGCTGTGGTTCAGTTACTGCTTGATCATGGTGCCGATGTGAATTTGGGAAGCATAACATTTGGAGAAGAAAGCGCATTATATGTAGCTTGTCTGGGTGGGCACCAGGCCGTCGTTAGACTGCTCCTGGGGAAAGGCGCTGACGTTAATATCTGGGGAGGAGAATATGGAACCTCGCTTCAGGCCGCGGCAGCTCATGGGCATGAGGCGGTCGTTCAGTTACTCATCGAGAACGGTGCGGATGTCAACGTGCAGGGAGGAGTCTATGGCCATGGCAATGCAAGGCAGATAGCCGAAGCTGGAGGACACGAGGGGGTGGTTCGACTGCTTCTTGAGAGAGGTTTTGACACGGATGAAAACAAAATCGCTTTGCACGACGCGTCAGGCAGGGGAGACGAGGCCATGGTTCGGCTGCTGATAGAAAATGGCGCCGACGTGAATGCGCAGAGAGGAGAGTCCGGAACCATACTACAGGTGTTTTCAGCCAGAGGGAACAACTCAATCGTCAGTTTCCTCCTCGAGAAAGGCGCGGACATCAACCGTCAGGGCGGATACTACGGGAACGCGTTGCACGCAGCATCGATGGAGGGACGTTACACAATTGCTTTACTCCTCCTCGAGAATGGCGCGAACGCAAACATGCAAGGAGGGCCGTATGGCAATGCTTTGCAGGCAGCATTGGCGGAGGGCCACGAAGAAGTGGCCCAACTGTTGATCGCCTGGGGTGCTGAAGAGCCTGCGAGTCGAGAAGAATCTGAAGGCTCTCCGCAAGAAGCAGCGCCGGGGTGCAAAACTGCTGCATAAAATTA